GACATAGCATCATACTGGTTTTTTTTTTCAAAATTGTTTCTAGAGGTGGCGTGTCATATAAAATCGTACTTGCAATTAGTTATCGCTAAAGATGGCGACAATTTTAGGGAGTTCCCTATATCACAGTGGATTTACCACTTAGAGTAATCTGTGTCGACTAAAATTCTCCGAAATGAATGGGTCTAGTGAGAAACGTTTTTGATAAAAATTCCAGTACAATATGTAAAGAGAGATCAAACTTGAAGCTTGTTCATAGCTCATTTGTGACTTTCAGAAGAATTTCTATAGTCTTGTCATTAAAAGAAATAAAGAGGTCGGGTTGATTTCAAATTAAAACCAACGCTTTTTGAGCAACTTTTGTTCGAACAAAATTTTGAAATCCGTTTTCGTTCATTTTCTATACTTATTTTAGTACACATGATATGATAATAAGTAAAAAGAAAAATGTGATTTCAAGGCATTAAATCTCGCTTTTCTCAACATAGGAATCAAATATAAAGAAATCTGGTCGAACAAAAGTTTATTCTTATTAACATCTCTAAAAATAGGAAAATATATTGGTCATATCTTGAACTGTATGAAAGGAATTTCAATGTGTCCGATTAAAAACCATGTTTTGAAAGAAACGATAAGCAAGTATAGAATTCGATGTTTTTTATTCAAATCTTTTAGATTTCTGTGCAATATACGTGGACTCTATATGTCTTATGTTCAGGATAAGATATAAATATATAATTCTTATATTGAGTGTTGATAAGTGCTTAATAGTAAATACTAAAATATTTTATTTAATTCTATTGTCAATGGCAAAGTAATCTTTATAAAACTGCAAAAATTTCTCGAAAAATCTGAAGTAAAGTCGAGATTTTCTCCGATAAGTCTATTAAAACCTGATCGTTTTTTGGAAAAAGCCATATATATATATATATACTCCGAAAGAGAAAATTTCAATACATCTTTCTATAATAAATGCTTAATTTTGATATTCTTTCGAAAAATTAGCTTTTCTAAGATGCTGAAAGTGCTTTAACCGTAAACCACTATTTTATCTTCTCCAAGAAGATAGTGAATCTTTTAGCGCAAGAAAAAATGTTTTTGATGATGGTTATACAAGCATCCAGTACACCTTTTATTTCTTGAAAATATGGAAAACAAAACATACATTTATTTTATTTGATGCGCTTGTTTCAATGGTTTAATTAGCATCCTTTACTCAAAAGCAACTACAATATATAATTTTACCCATCTTGATCAACAAGTACCGCAGACGTATACAAATATTGAACAAAGTTCAGGAAGATCCAAACATTTTTTGATAGAGAAGAAGACTCAATTCCCATCAATCTATCAGTAACGTTGTTACTACCCACATGTTCGGTGAACTTTCTATACAATCGTGTGACTGTTGTTGCTTTTTTTTTGTGTTCGATTTATTATTATAAGAAAAAAATTGGATTTAACCAGTGGTAAACAAAAAATTCTTTCAAAGCAAATAGTAATTATTACTTCAAATACGATATGAAAATATAGGTAGAATGGTCAACATATGATTTTATTTTCACATAAAATATGAATTATGTTGCTTCTGTTTTGATGATTAGCTTTCTTCTTTAATCTTTTACTCTTTTAAAAAAAGCTTGTTTAAAATTCTTATTGAACAGCCAATATTCTTTTACAGACATTCATTGTCGATGAAAACTTATCTTCATTACTATTATTCAAATGAATTAGTAATATTGTTACTCATTTATAACATTCATCTAGTGTTAGATATTCAATCTAAAAAAAGAAAATTTTGTAAAATCTGATTAACTTTGATTTACGTCATGATTGAATTATTTTTCAGTTACATTATAAATTCTTTCTTTTCTGCTCTTAACAAGTGCTTTTCTTTTCAGTAAATAAACTGTTTGATTCATCAGAGATCAATAATATTTCTTTTTTTAATATTCGTCATTCTTCACAATCAATTCCTTAGAAAGCTTTTTTTAATTTGAAACGATCAAAATTATGCACATAAACCAGTTAAAAAAAATCGTAAAAATTCAAAATTTTCGAACATTCAAAGATAGGTTAAGTAAGATATTTATCAAGAAGCAAACAACATAATTAATCATTTTTTTCTTTATTTGAATATATTTGAAAGCATAATGTGAGACAAGACCTTGTAACACTTAAAAAAGAAAAAGAAAATTATAATATTTCATGAATAATAAAATATAATTAAAAAAGAAAAGTTCTTTTATGATGATTTCCATGGAAATTTTTCTCCTTTACTATCTTCCGATTGAATTTGACTTCTTGCATTAGTACAAACAACATCACCTGAATCTCCATCAAGTAAAATTAATGTTGGAATACCACTAACATTAAATTTTTTTCCTAATTCTTCTTTTTTTTTACGATCTGTAAAATCTAATGCTAACCAAGGCATATCTTCATAATATTCGTTAAATGATTTTTCATCACGATCAGAACTTATAAATATTATTTCAAGTTTTTTATTTTCTGAATGTGTTTTATAAAATTCAATCAATACAGGAGTAAAACCACGACATGGTGGACACCTAAGAAAGAAAACAAAAGAAAAAATTTAATAAAATATAAAAGAAATCAAAATTTACCAATGAGCACTAAAATAAAGACCAATTGTTTTGCCTTTATATTTTTCATCATTAAGATCAACTGATTCTTTTGATTTATTTATAATATGACCATCAAACAGTTTTGCTACACCAGCCATGATAAATTGTACTTTTACTTTTGTATGAGACTAAAAGAAAGCAATTTACTAATGCTTTGTCGTTTTCTCTTTTGCTACGCTTCTCTGCTTTTTTTCTCTTTTCATCAGTTGCCTTGACACTATAAAAAAAAAAGAACGGAAAAAAACCCATGTTTACTATGCATATGGGGTCGATATTAACTAACGACACTCTCATTTATTCTCTTTTTATATACTTTACAACTGTTTTTTTTTGCTTCGATTAAAGAAAAGTACATTTTTTAAAAATTATTATGTGGAAGAATATCGAACGAATCAGAAGAAATTTATTTTTACGATTAATGAAAATAATCCAGGTCGATACTGTTTCAAGTAGCATATTTTTCTATTTCTTTTATTTTTCATAATTGAAGAAGAAAAAGAAATTCCAATACTGATAAATCAGTGTAGATAGAAAACAAATACAGTTATTGTAAATAAAAATAGAGGACTAGATAAAAAACATAAAAACATAGAGAACTAGAAAAAAAAACATAATAGCTACATAAAACAATCATATAGAAGTGTAGAAGGACATGTACATAAAATGAAATAATCGTGATTGGATCTTGTTTGTCGAATAGTTACCATTTGTAAATGAGTTACTGCGACGTCCATCAGACTGTTACCTCCAGGCCAAAAGCAGATATGGTTCCAGTCACCGTCGTCATACTTCACAGCTAACTATATACATAGTTTTGTCACCAGATTACAACATCTTGTTTCTTCAGCCATGATTTAGTATATGCTTTCACATGTGTTGTGGTACTCTGTGCCTTCAAAAATCTACCATAAGTTTCATTTGAATACACAAATATTCTTTATTATTGTTTTTTGATATTAATTCTAGTATTTTTACTTTCTATCCTATAGGTATCTGATGACATATTGTTAATACATTACGATGAATGACTTTTCATACGCACATCATTGCATATATCTGTGACTGTTTTATTTAGGCAAGTGCGTTGATGTACGATTAAGTCGAGATTGTTTTAAAGATCTTTGTGCATAGCACACATATGGGACCGTCGGCTGTCATGGAAGAGACAAGTAGAGAAATCACTTCTTTACTTTGGTTAGACAGTCGAGATAATTCTTCTTCTTCAGTTTGACGTTTGTCAGCTCTTTCTTTATATTTTTGCATAATATTTATAATATTAGGCTGCATCTTAAAGTGTTTAACATTTTAATTGATTGCTTTAGACTACTGATCTTTAGTCTGAACTTCTCGCCATAATTGAAGTCAGAAAACTCAACAACATATTCTATATTTCTATGTATATTTGTAAATGAAAGATTGAATTAA